TGCGTGTGCGAGCGTCGTGTGCGAGTTGTTATATATAGTCGTAATATACTGAGGTATAGGTATGGTATTGATGTGAAGTGATGTATAATGTGTATAGGTATTAGAGTATCACTAGAGTGGTGTATTGATTATATATACCAGTAGATTTGTATGTACTTATAGTATATGTAGTGAATACGAAAACACGTGGTAACAGCTTAGGCTTAACTCGTCTCTATAAGTTCATGGATATTGTTATGATTGGGTGGGAGTTATATTTTATATTTCCTTATTATTTAGTATCAATCCTATATATGCCGTAGTCAAACCTAAACCTGATGCAACGTAACGCGTGAGAGACAGACCACCATAGACGTACTGAAATATATACACTACTAAAACTAGTAATAACATGATTAACTAAGCTATAATCAACCTCGCTTAGGTTCAAAATAATTAAGTAACCGGGGCATATAAGCGAGTTAAGTCAATCATACAACCCCACGATTGCTGCAGCACGCAAAGTGGGGAGAATCGTATATAATTAGATTCGTTGGACTAACTAAATAACCAGTAACAGCCAGTACAAACAACTAATAAGATTAACTATTTAATTACATAAGATTAACAACTGAACCAACTGAACTACTGCTACTAATACGTTGACCAAGCTGGGCATGATGCTTCCTTGAGTCGGGAACAAAAACTAAACGAGTTAACTTAATTATTAATTATTCATAATTATAAGTGAATTTAATCATAGTGAACCCTGGCTAATTGGCTGCCTGAGTCTGGGAAGCTGGTAATACCGCACGATGACGTTGCTATCGGGATGAGGACGATGGTTGGATGCTGCTGCTGCCTCTTAATTACAGGCTGATTATTAGGGCAAACTCCTGATTGAGCCCGTTAACCGGAGAGACCCTAATTAAATTTGCGCTAATTGCGCAGGCTCAGCGCTAATTGTAAGCAAGGCAGGTGTTGGTGGGATCGCGCCATGTTTCAGTTCTTTCATTCGTGCAGTAATTATGGTTTCGCCCATGCATATGCTATAATTGTTCTATATTATGCTATTGTCTGAGACCTTGTATTACTTATAGTACTTATAGTACTTGTAGTTGGTAATTTTTTGGCCGAAATTTTTGTCGAAACTTTCTGGGTTCAAACTTCGTTTCCAGTCGAAAATTTCGTCGTTGTAAGTAATTATAATTTATTATGGATTCAACTGAGATAAACTTATTTTTATGTGAACTATAGAGATTCGATAAAATTATTCAATCACGTATAGTTTTAGTTTCATGGCTTTCATTTACAGTTCGTACACATACTAACCAACCGTAGCATTGTATGATCTAAATATTCAGTCTATGGAGTTACAGTAGTTTCTCACAACGGGGAAGGCAGGTTATGGTCAGGTCATACCTTCAGACTGTCTATGGCCTGTCCCTGGAGAGGGGAGTAAAGCTAGGAGAAATAATCCAATTCAATTCAATTCACTTTGTTTACACTTATGACATTCACATTTTGGAGGTATTCTATTTGTTAATCAAATTAATCGAGAAAGGCTGAAGAAATAAAACTAAATAAATAGCAGTGACGGAGGGCGAATTGACAATTCAGTTTACCAGTCAGCCACTCAAATATATTACAAATTAACCATATGATGCCAAAAACAAGATAAGTAATAGTCTACGTGAACAATAATATATATAATATAATATAATATATAATATATGATTAACGGGTAACAACGATTAATGGATTTTAGGAGCTCTATCATCAGGCTCTGATCAGGCTGTTATATGTTATATTATATGTTACATACCTGCAGGCTGTCTATAGGCTGTCCATAGTGATGGAAGTGAGGCTGGGCGTTATGCGTATAATAATATACAATATATGAATCACAGGCGATTACTGGATTATAGAAGCTCGCGCGTTCACTCGCAGCACAGTCGAGTTCAGTGCCAGCATTACCCGCGTACTGAAAGCGCCCGTGTGATGCGCCCTCTTCCCTTCCCTCCCTCCCCCACCCCTCCCTCCCCCTCCCCTCCCTCCCCCACCCTTCCCTCCCCACCCCGCCAGCATTACCCGCGTACTG